AAACGTAGGGTTTGCAGCGAATATGTTATATTATGTTACAATTACACATGAATGGCGGACGAAATTACTTGTTCATTTTCCTGCCAGGCGCAAATTAGGGTCGTCCCCTATCGGTAGTGATAGTTTCTGTGTTCACAGGCTTTGAGGCGACTCATGCAAAACAGGGGTATCAGTATAGGGTCGTCCCCTACAGTACCGGTGATGAAGGTTTTGGGCATCTCTCAGCAAGGCTAAGGCGAAGAAATACTAAACAATCAATTTGCCGGTTACTCATATAGTTACGAGAAACCCTAAAGTATTTATTACTGAAGTTATGAACCAACTTAGCTATCTAAGGGGCTAGGGGGCCCCCACCTTGCGGGCGATATCCGCAAAATTGCTTGGTCTGAACATCTATAGGGTGAAAACGAATCCCAATGAAATATAATCTGTCCTACAGGATGGCCCCCCCCAATTATAAGTTGGTTTATAAACCATTATAACCCCCATTAACTATAGTTATATCTACCATAAACCATAGTTAAGCCACTTAAAAGGCAACTGAACGCTATCTTGAGGGCCCCATCCTGTACTATTCTATAAATGGGGGAGCGTATACCCCAATTTCAGACAAATTGCATTTTTTGTACAAGGAAAATGATGAACTTGTGGATGTAGGTGAACTTGCAAATGTGTATGTATGATAATTTATCTTCAATTTGCAGAACGGTTTGCCCGCTTTAATGTGAAGAAAGGTCGGTACCTGTAAATGACAGAACCCTGCTCCAATGCTATGTATAACTTGAAGTAATTCATGGTATAGTACGTACAATTATATGCAAAATACAGTAATACCATCTTGAAACAGCCCCAAAATGAAGGTAAGTATAATAAACAATCAATAGCAAATGGACTGCGTATGATGGCTTTGAAATCTTTGAAGACAAGATGATACAAAATGATAATATGATACAAGCACATACAAGTACAATGTCAATGCTAGGATACATAAACCCTGGTTGGGTCTGGCTTCTTCATTCTGGGGTCCCCAAAAGGTGTTTTTTTCCCCAATGGTGCCGCAATGGTGCCTCTATCAATCAAGGAGCTTGTCAGGGTGAGTTATACTCAATACGATGTGTCCAATTTCTGTAATGTGGGAAACCCAATGCCATCAACCATCCCATATTGCGCACTTTTTTTTGGGGTCATTTCAAATCATCCCACGCAGGGGTATACTCAATGATCATAAACCCTAGCGAAGCCTGAAAACCCGGAAAACTGACGGAATCTGACATTTTTTCAGTGTTCGCGTTTTTTTTTAACCGGTGTTGGAACTCCTCCGCCGGTGGAATTTGGTGTGAGAAATCTGTTCGGACATGATAATGCGTTTCTGGTACGTCTGCTTAGGAATTTGTCTTCCCTTATCTTCCCTTGCTGCTTGCAACTAGCCATTTCTATTTGGCACAGTCTGGTTTTCTTGTGGGGATTGATTGATGTTTCCAGCACTCGTTTTTGTTTGGCATGATAGGGGCATACTTGCCACTTTGGCCACACAGGTTCTAAACGTTGCAGGGGCAGTTGCTAGGGTAAAAAAAAACAAACACATGTGAGGACACACGATGTCTCCAAGACGATTTTTCTGCTTGGGTGATATATTATATACATATATATATATATATATATATAATTATATATTTATGCATGGCAATCGGAGCCACTACACCCAGAGAAATCCAAAAATAAAGCCAGAGAAATTCACAGCCGGACTACAAGTAGGTGCGAAAACACCCGGAGAAAGAGCAAGAATTCCCGGAGATTGTGTGAGAAACACGCGAGAAAACCCGGAGAAAATGCATGTATAGTCAATCTTGTGTCAACATGAAAAACCTGGTGTTTCATCAACAAACCTTTTTCCAAACCAAACGCAGCACCTGGTGTTTATGAATTTTGACTCCATCTATCGAAAGCAAATACATTTTGCCAAATGCCATTCACACACGGAGACCCTTGGGTTCCTTGGGAAGTGCAAGTGTCAGTGAAACGTGACAACCACATGAAATACATGCCGGTAACATGGATCCCATCAATATACCCCCTTTTTGTTAGCATATATACCAGCACCATGGATCCGTCATGGGATGAAATACATGAATATCAATTCGGTGTTTTGGATCGTTTTGGGATACCCTCTGGTAAACTGTCACATAACTATGGAAAATCACCATGTTTCATAGGAAAATCCACTATTTCTATGGCCATTTTCAATAGCTATGTTAAATTACCAGGCCGGGTACTGCTTAAACACCACTGCCTAAAAATTGCCGAACCCCTGGTGCAGGCTTAAGCCCCTGGATTCATCCCTGGATTCATCATCCCCCGGTGAAGAACGGGGAACATGACGCATATGCTAAACATCAGCATGACTTATTGCTGGATAGTGGTTTCAACCCCGGTAGTTTCATATTGTAATATATTAGTATTATATATGATTATATTATTAATCTCCAAAAATCGAATAAACTTCTGCCATGATGACAGACTATGAAAGCTGCAGTGATAGTTCTCGGAAACTAACTACTCAACCATTGACCCACCCCTGACAAATTGGAAGAAAAACGCACACAATAAAATCATATAAATTTAAAATCGTTCTTTTTGCAGATAACAGTCTCCATCTCGTGTAACAAAGTTCGTTGGCGCTTGTCGAATGCTACGCGGCTCCCATGTGACAGATGGCCCAGATGGCAGTATCCACAGGCATCTCCCAAGTTGCATCCTCCTTCTTTGGCAATTCGGATGCATGGATGAGCGCACAACTGCGGATGGCCACGGCTCCCATCATTCACCGGGTCGGGTGGCGCCGCACAAACCGCACGCTCAAGTGTCATCGGGTTTATGGGCGGTGCCATGGGTCGGGCTGGAAAGGTGTTCAACGTCTTGTGCTGCAACTGGGCCACATAGTTCGCATCGCGCGCGGTGGCATCCTGCGGTTCCTGCCAAGAACATGGCATAAGCAAAGGACGCTTCAGCTGGTTGCTGAGGGAATCTAAAGATCTAAATATATCACAGTAATGATACAGTTTCATCAATTCCATGGCTTACGCATATCAACGCACTCTCGTTTCCATGGCTCACGGGCAAACACACATGGCCAGTGGTCATGGTCCATATAATGTTGTATCCTCATTAGTAGCTAGGTTCGCTATTGTGCAAAAATAAAATAAAAAATCTGAACCCATGCAATGTTTGGTAGGTTCGCTATTGTGGCAAGAAATCTTGGGAGACCAATTTGTTTTGAAAAAAAAATGAAAAAAAACAAATGACATTTCTTCTGGGAAAAATCGTGTTTGTCTGCGTTTCCCCAAAGAATCAGATCGCTTGTTGAACCCTGATTAAGGAAGATTTTGTTCCACAAATTTCTGAGGCAATGCGCCATGAGAGGGTCCAATTCACTCTAGTAGGTCTGTTCTCAGGGTTCACAAAAGCAGCACAGTGTTCCAGAGCTGATCCTGGAGCCAAGAGAAGAAAGGTAGGCCTTTTCCAAAAGCAATTGCCAAGTTCAAAGCGCAAGCATTTCCAAAATGAATCAGATCGCTTATTAAAACCTTGTTAAAGAACAGTTTTTCCACAAATTTGCAAGGCACTGGGCCATGAGAGAATCCAGTTCACTTTGGTTTGTTCTCAGGGTTCACATTTGCAGCAAACTTTTCCAGAACTGATCCTGGAGCCAAGAGAAGAAAGACATGCCTTTTACAGAAGCAACCTGTTCTTTCTCTTTCTCTTTCTCTTTCTCTTCCTCTTCCTCTCTCTCTCTCTCTTCCTCTTCCTCTTTCTCTTCCTCTTCCTCTGCTTCTTCCTCTCTCTGTTCCTCTTCCTCTTCCTCTTCCTCATCCTCTTCCTCTTCCTCTTCCTCGTCCTCGTCCTCTTCCTCTTCCTATTCCTCTTCCTCTTCCTCTCTCTCTCTCTCTCTTTCTTTCTCCCTCTATCTCTCTCTCTCTTTCTCTTTCTCTCGTTCCCTTTCTCTGTTTCTTTCACTTTTTCTTTCCCTTATTACATGTTTAACGTAATCGACATGCTGAACCCCACTCACTACAAGTACTACAAGTACTACAAGTACTACAAGTACTACAAGTACTACAAGTACTACAAGTACTACAAGTACTACAAGTACTACAAGTACTACAAGTACTACAAGTACTACAAATTATCACATGTTCATCGGCCAAAAACAGTTTTAATATGTTTTAAGTTTCAATTAATTATAGATTTCAATTATAGCCAAACTTAAGTGCAGAGTTTTTGTTTCCTGGGGAACCGCTTTATTGCGCCCAACTCTAAAGAGGGTATAGCTATTGTTGAGGGGGGGGCCTACACAAATCAGGACGGAACACCCCTAGCCATCCACCATCGCCTCCTCTTCGCTCCACGTTGGGCATCCCAGCAGGGGAAAACTTCGAGACCGCCGTAGGCCCTCCACTGGTTCCAGCGGCTCCTCGTCGATGAAGGTGTGAAGGTAGCGAAGCGTCATGGCCGTCATGGCGGTCATTGATCAAACATTGATCTATCATGAAACTGGAGCCATAGCCAGGCAATACCACGCGCATTGCTGAAAACCTGCATCAAAAGGACATATCTGGAATATGATAGAACATGTATAGCATACCAAATACATGGCACATTGCAGCCAAATCAACTGATCCAACTAAACTTTTCCGAAAATATCCGCAATTCGCCATGGTGAGCTTTCAGGCTTTCAGGGGCTCCTGGTTACCAAGTCACCTAACCCACCTAACCATGCCCCAAGTCACATGGCAACATTGCACCATGACACCCTGATGATTTCGGCCAGTACCCCAGCCGAGTCTTCCAAAGCTTCCCAATTGCTGGATGTGGTGCTGGCATGCCCACATGATCCCATTCATGGAGCATCATGGAGCTATGTTCTCCACGGGGCACGTCTCCGGGTCTGCCTCTTTTCGGTTCATGACCTTGGGCACACGGCCCAAAAAGGCCTGGCGCTCCGCCGCGGTCAGGACGGGTTGAGGTATCTACTTGGGAATGTCATGGGTACTTTATTAGATAAACTTGGGATAAACTGACTAATTAAATATGGGATTGTAATGGGAAGAGCTACAGTAAGTATGACTATGACTACTATGACATCAAATATCTACAACCGAGGGATCATCCCACGACTCGTAACTCAATTGTACGTAACCATAGTTACGACCCATTTAGAATATGCAACCCACTGAGTGGGGAGTTACTATAACCAGGGTTACTAACCACTTGCTAAGTGGGACGATCCACGTATTCCCAGGATCCAGTTGGTCCCCCTTGCATTCGAATGTCGGGATGGCAGTTGAGATCCAGCTGGCAGCTTGGAGCAACATCATCTTTCCCCAAACCCCTGGTTCACTGCTCTAGTGGCCCCTTTTGAATTTGGGGACCACATGGAGGGTGTCATAAATTTCGGCGGATTGCTGGGCCATTTTCCATAGCTATGTTAAATAACCAGAGAGTATATATTTATGTCTTTATAAGGCCTTTTTTTTACGTGGCTGAATCATGCTCAAAATCCTCCGTAGGTTTTCCAAAAAGGTGTGATGTCCAAAAAGCTTTCCGAAGGCACCCCCCACAGTTGTACACTGCCAGGTGGGGATGTCCAGAAAAATAGCTATACGTCCTGCAAAGCTCATTGCGCGTTCCCATAAAAAGGTCCCCATTTATGATCGGATACCCTCTGGTAATTTAACATAGCTATTGAAAATGACCATTTATAGTGGATTTTTCCATTAAAAATGATGATTTTCAATAGTTATGTTAGTTTACCAGAGGATATTTATGGCACAGCAATTCTGTTGTTTCACCAGTCGACTCACCAAGTCTTCCACTGGCAGATTTGGCCTCCAAGATCTGAGTTTTAGACCCCAAGTTTTCTATCCACCAAGTTACTCCCATCTTGGGGTTTTGCTTCCATCCCCAGCTAGAAATCCTGAAGTTTTCTGAGTTCTCAAGGTTTATGGTTTACAGAAGACAACCAACCAAATTGCTTCTCAACCCTATCACCCACAAGTCCACCATTTCAACCGCGATACGCCCATCATACATCCACTAATCGATCAACAGAAAAGCACAAAACTATACAAAACTTGAATCATTCCACAGTAAAACCGCATAAAATATCCTATAAAGTCACAAATTCTGATAAATTCTGAAGATTTCCGAAGCCTCCAAGCTGCCCCTTTTTTGGCCCCTTTTTTGGCCCCTTTTTTGGCCCCACCGACCTCCGCCATCTGAGCCACCAAATCCTCCGGTCGAATGGCTGCGCCCGAAGCGATGCGCGGCTGCACCGAGAGGATGATACCCAGGAACTGCCGCGCCGCCTGAGCCCAGCCAGGCCGGATCCACCGGTGGCAATTGTTTCATAGCCATAGGATCCATGGTGCTGGTAAATGTATGGTAAATTGATGGGATCCATGTTACCATATATTGATGGTAAATATACCCATAGTGGTATATATATATATATGTATATGCTAACATAAATGGGGTATATTGATGGGATCAATGTTACCATATATAGCAGCACCATGGATCCTATGGGATAGCTGAACCAAGGACCGATGAATTAATTGCAGGGTTTGACGCTTCTATGAAGATATGGGCTGCCAAATGGGCCAAAACTTGGGGGAATCTATCCAACAAAATATAGAACATATTCGGGAAAACATGTGATTAATATAGGGATTTATATAACCGAAACAACTACACAGAAACATGTGCAAAAACGTAGAACTTGGTAGATGTACGAGTATTTAGCAAATCTAGAAACACAGTGACAAAAAACGAGAAACACTTGGGGACAAACAAACGGGGATCTAAGCAGCCAAAATGAGGATCTAATAGGCAAAAACGTGCCACAACTTGGATCTGTGCAGGAACGTTTCCGGGTGCACCAACTTCATGAGAGACAACTTTTCTCCTTGATTTCCTCGTTTCAGCCAGTGATCCTTTTTTGATGGGGTTCAACACATAACAAGCCTCCACTTGTTTTTCCTACAATGATGGAACCCGCAACCAAACATACATAGGGGGTTAAGTACGTCCATAGTTGTGTTTTTTTTGCGGGTGATTTGGACTTTCATCCACTTGCAAATAGTACACCCCAATCATTGCACTTGGATGTTCTCAAATTACTACGTGATTTTCCACGTGAGCATGGTTGGTTTCCAGAATCGCGTTTCAAATGGAAAGAACCCTTGGGCATTTCACCCTTTTGCAGGTGAGTCGGGCCCCAAGAAATCTGTTTTCTTGCATGGAATGGCCCAACGCCTCCATGAAAATCATCATTTTTTGTGTGGCTTAAACAATGCCATCGGCACCATCCCCCAGTCATCATCATGTAAATAGCTTTTATGTTTACCCTTCCCAGTCATGGGTGGTTTATGGCATTGTTTTAGCCACATTAGAGTTTGAACCGTGGGTAAAACATGAAAAAACCACCCATTATATATTTATTATTGTTTTACCCAATGGGTGATTATTGTTTTACCCAATTTTTGTTTATCCATATTAATGGGTGACTACCCAATGTTTTACAAATTAATTAACACTGTGATTAACATATAATGTGGTTAAAACAATCATAAACCATCCCCCAAATCACCATTTTTATGGGTGGTATAATCCATTCCCAAATGGTGTGGTTTATTAATGTTTTACCAACATAAAACCATAAAGAAACAGTATTAACCACTATTAACCTTGGGTAACATATTAATAAACCACCCAATAATGTTTGATTATGATGGTTTTCCCACATTACCATTCATCACCATTAATCACGATAAAACCATAAATAACCACTATTCACTATTAACCAACATCAACCAACATAACCATTATTAACCAACATTTACCATTATCCCATCCCATTATACTGGTTTGTTAATAGTTATCCCTATTATGGTTTATTAATCCCCATTAAAGCAGATAGTATATTCCCATAATAACCTATCAACTATGATGATGTGTTTTTTTGTTTTAATGACTCATTAATCAGTATTAATCATTATTAATCATTAATTAATCATTATTAATCATTATTAATCAATATTAACCATTATTAACCATTATTCACCATCATTAACCATTATTAACCATTATTGACCATGATTAACCATTATTAACCATATATATATATATATATTCATATCAAATGGTTGGTATGCTATTCATACCGTTCATTAGTCGTCCCCACAGGCGCCCCCGGTAGTACGACTGAACGACCTCTGTCTGTGCCGTGATCTGCGCGTTGGGGTGCAGGCCAAAGACCTGCCGGAAAAGGTGCAAATTTGTCGTGTTTTCATATGGAAATTATTGATATTATATTGATGAATACTATATATATACTATATTATTATTACTATATATATATTTAAATATTATACATATATACTATGTATATATATATATGTATACATATATATACTATATATATATATACATAGTATATATTTTATGAGGCTATGTTCAAACACAGGCAAGTTTTGCGGTCAAAACTCTCGCACACCGGATTAGTCTACGGAATCCGTTCAGGTTTCCAGCGGAGGAACTCCGATTTGTTGGGTCAAATTCCTGTGTTTATTGGTTAATGTAATTCTAGGGGTATCACATAGGGGGATGCTACTATCATCTACTATCCCCCATAATTGTAGGGGTATCCTCCCCTACAAGTCCTAGAAACTCATATGGCGATGGAATTGGGCCCTGGCGATGGGAACTAGAGGAACCAAGATCCCCTGTAATTAGCCATTGTTTTTGTTGCCGTATCACAATCCCCTTCAAATAACATACTCCACTGAAACCTTGCTGTTGTCCTGGACCTCTTCGTTTTGGAAGTGATTTGATGCGATCTGAGGGAATTTCAAAAAAGGATGGAATTTTCCAAAATAGTTAAACATAATAACCACACCGTAGTACCTTAGTCGCAATTTGTATTACTTTCCAGTAAATTGGCATAGACACCGAAGACCCACATTTGTAGATCACTATCTGACCTGGAAAAAAAATAGTGTTTTCTGAATTTACCTGAGGTTGCTTGTCCATCCCCAACATACCTCCATCCATGCCAATTACTTCCTTTTTCAATTATTAAATCACACATTCATCCACAATCATGATCAGCACCCCGCAGCCGGTATTGATCCAGTTGTTGATACTAATTTCACGTGTATAAGTATCCTATAAGATATATAACGTAATCTTCATCATACCAGAACATGTTGTTTTTTTTTCAGATGAAGGAACTTCGCACAATGATATTACATGATATTGCATGATTATATATATATATTGATTATATTGTAAGTTATATTCTATTAGATAAATATCATTAGTTATATATATATATATATATATTATATGATTATATATATATATTAGTAATGATACCATTTATTATATATGTATATTACATTATACTAGATTATTTAATATATATATATATATGTGGTACAAATATTATCATTCTATTAGTTACTTGTATATATATATATACACACCATTTTCTATTAGTAATTCGGAGATCTTCATTTCTGTGAACAAAATCCAAACATTTGAACGGTCGGCCGTTCGGGGATGCTTACGGCGATATTATTCGTGAGGTGTCCAAGCATTTTTCTTCGCCCTCTCCAACAAAAAACATGTAGAACAGTCGTGAAAATCACTATTTTCGTGCGTTATGAGTATATTTTGGTAATTCATTCCTGACCATATTTTTGCTATTCTATATAGTAGGACTTGGCTTTTCTATACGTTTCATTACTTTTCCATATGTATAGAAACCAAATAAATTCATTACTTTTCATTGCTTTTCTATATGTATACTTTTCATTCCGTTCTATAGCATCATTTATTTGCCATGTCTTTTTATTTTATATACTTTTCATTACTTTTCATAGTAGGAGTTGCCATGGCCAGAAAAAAAACTGCTCTCCTCACCTGCGGGTCTTCATCCATGGGTAGTTTGCGCACGTGTTCTCGCACCTGGCGTCACACGTCCAACAGGCAGGGAGCCGTGAAGAAAACCGACCGCAAACTGGTTATTTAATGGTTTGCTATGGAAAATCAATGGTAAATTATGGAAAATCATGGTAATTATGGAAAATCATGGTAACTTATGGTAAAATCAGTAAAATTTATGGAACAACATCCTAAATTATGGTAAATCATGGTAAATTATGGTAAATGATGGTGAAATATGGTAAATTATGGTAAGTTATGGTAAATATCACCAGTGTCAATTTGTAAATCATATGGTAAAGTATGGTAAATCGTCATGTTTGTCATCAATACATAGGCCATCTTTACCATAGCAAATTGTTAAATAACCAGAGGGTATTCCATCCCGTTATACTCATTGGAGTATCTCCAACAAAAAGTGTGAAACATCTCCAATATAACAGTTCTGAACACTTACCATCTGGTTATTTAACATAGCCATGGAAAATCACCATTTTTCAGTTCGGTAAACCATCTATATATATTTCTATGGGCCATCGAAATCCCATGGCGATGTTAGTCATAACCAGAGGGTAACCGTTCCCAACCAATCCATAGGGGTAGTCATGGCTCAACTGCTGCAGAAACGTCTCAGCGTCTCAGCTTCGCTTCAGAAGTGAAGCTAATGAGGCCAGGGGCGAGTTCGGTTTTTCAACATGAGCTGTGCATTTCACCTGCATGGGAAATCACTATAACCCATGACGGATCCATGGTGCTGATATATATATATGCTAACAAAAAGGGGGTATATTGATGGGATCCATGTTACCATATATAGGATACATGGATCCTATGGGTAATTCATTAATTCATACAAGAAGACGGGAAAGTACGTTATCACCAAGAAAAATGATTCGATTCAATCACGCAATTAGCAATCGAATCGGAGTCATCCTTCTAACCTCATCATTCTGTATGAATAGTTCAGAAACACGCCATTCCGGGATGGTTCCCCATGATATTTTCACCAGCGTTCACCAGGTTCCAGTGGGTCACGACATGATTTTTCCATATCATCCCCACAAGGGCCCCCCCAGTTACAGGTTTATATTACGACCTCCATGAACTAGTTCGATATTTCATTATACGTATTATCAACATATTATCAATCCTAGTGAAATTAGAGTTACGTTCACCAACTTAGCTATTACCCATAGGATCCATGTATGGTATATATGCTAACATTGGGGGTATATTGATGGTAAATGTTACCATATATAGCATACATGGATCCTACAGTATGGGTTATAAATCAGCTATAAATCCCGTTCAATCCACATCGGTGAAACATGTTGGTGAAATCAGAACATATCAGAACTGTCCCATGGTTTTCCTATGGGGGACGGAAGCTTCGCTCCGCGGAAGCTCGACCTCCTCGAGTGACCCTTCGTTCGGGCAAGTGTAAGCATCCAATGGACTCAACTTGTAACCGTCCTCAAGCACCTGAGAGGATGGGATGTGATGAATTGGAACTCCATGATTGTTTCCATGGTTGCTTCCCTGAAAAAAAAACATTTAGAACATTATGGATGATCCAAAGACGATGATTTTCCATATCTATGTTTATTTACTAAAGGCTATGACCCGGTGATGGGGGATTAGAAGCCATTGCACAATGCATGGGATTTGATATGATTTGATTTTTTGGTGACTAGACTCGACCTCCAGTGATCAGATATGATCAGATAACTAGCAATCTAAATAATCTAAATCTCTGGCAGCAGATACTTCTATTCCACCTGCAGGCTGTGGCTGTCCCACTGCAGGCCGAGGGAACATGCTGATGGATCCATGGCATTTGGGGATGAAAAAATTGCCCATATTTTTTGTGGGATACGATGGGAATAACCAATGAATAACCAATTGTTAATCCTTACTTACACTAGCCATGGAGTGATTTGACCCAATTCTATAGCTAGTTCTAACGGGTTGTAATCCGTTTAAGACTAAACAAGCAATCTGATGCCAATCCTGACTCCATGGTCCAATCAACCAACAGATTATGTTATCATGGTTTGTTTCACCTGGTGGTCTGATGCCCATCTCTAGTTGGATTAGCAAACAAATAACATTCCTCTTGGTGGAAAACAAACATGTGACTATAGTCCATCCACCAGTTGATAGTTGAGGCTACAGTATCCTATGTGTGACTGAGTTACAGGTTATGAACCGACCGAAGTTACTGGGTTTTCCAGGTGAATGGTAAGTGGCTTGTAACCGCTGAGATTTAGCAAGGAATGTAGCCCAGTGATCAACGCGGCTAATTCTGACATCTATATCTATATATATATAATATTTATATGTTTTCCAAACTATATCCCGATGTTATCATAATATTGCCACTAGATTCATCCATATTCCATGCTTGAGCCATGGTGACCAGCCCCCATCCAAACTTGACTCGTTCGAACGGCGGACCCCCTCGTTGAAGTAGCGTTTCAAGAAAGCACTGATCAAGCGAACATCCTGGTGCCGCAGGATCTGTTTGTTTTTTTTTTTTTTCGAACATGAAGGTGGTCACCAATCAACCAGAAAATGAGGTGCTTTGCCAAAAAAATGTTTTCAACACATAGGGATACATAGGGCATTGAATTTCGCCAAACAAAGATACACCGAATCGCCAAAAGTTCTTTCGACCGGAAAATTCATTGGGATGACCACGAATATTCACATGGGATGACAAATGTTGTAGTTCCATCCACCCAATGCTCATCACGATTGAGTAAATGATATGCAATTGTATACTGATGCTACTGTCATGGTACATCTTGGGAGCGTCTCAATGAAGGCATAGGAAGATTATGTAAATATATTGTAGATAGATAACACCAAATCGACAATGTTTGTTAACAAAACGATTAAGTGGTGGTTTGGGCAAATAGCACACCTTATTTGACCCCTTGCCATCTGGTAGGTTCCGCAACCTTTTTTAATCAACATAGAAGTAGGAAAGTGTTCCTCATGTGTAGACAACATGTTCCTTAGGAAACCATGGGTCTTCCGCATCTATGTAAACGTTTGATGCTAGATGTCAGATCCACCGTAGACTGCACCTTGTCATCTGTCACTCGACCACCGTAGTTCACCTGTCGCTGGTCAAGATGGTGATATGCAGAAGATATGATGAGGATCTGGGTTAAAGAATGGATAGTTTTTGGTGATTTCACATAGCTATGGACTATGGAAAAATCACCATTTCTGATAGATATATATATATATAATATATAATCATCTTGAAAGCACACTGTTAAACTACCAAGGGTATCCAGTATGACATACGGAGGTCAAATCATAAACATTGACCATATCCGAAAATTGTTCACATCGAATCGTTGCTAATGGTGAGATTACAGTTGATACTTTGAGAAACATAGAGCGGTTGCTGGATCCAATAATTCACTGGATTGTTTTAAGGAAAAATCTACAGGAAACCATGGTTTTTACCATCAAATATAGGGCTTTCCTGCAAATTTTCCCATCATCCAATTCTATGATATAGACCTATGCAAAAAGGAACAAATATGGTAAGGCATGCCATTGAAAGAACGAACATCATGCGGATGTGTTTAACATGGGTATCCGCCCCAACTTGTCGCGAATTTCATGGGGAAGAAAACCGTTTCAAACCAAAAACAAAACTATAAAACAGCATGTTCAGAGAAAATTATGTCATCATGTCCAAAACCCGGCACGGTATCATGGCATCGGCAGCCGTTTTTTCCATCTGCGCTAGTTGCTACGGGGGCCAATGCTCATCCTTCAGCCGGAACTGCCTTGAGGATTGCAATGACCAAGTGGATCAAGTTTGGCCCATATTACAATCTGGTTATGACTAACAGTTCGCCATGGAAAGATCCACCATTTTTAAGTTCGGTAAACCATCTATTTCTATGGGCCATCTATACCATGGCTATGTTAGTCATAACCAGAGGGTAAATGGTATTTTTGTCCTACTTAAGTTCCAATTTCCTGTGGGATCCATGGAGTTCTTTGAGCTAACCTTAAAAATCACACAATTGATTTTCCATTGAATGGGTATACTAAAAGTATACTAATATACCATCCACCAAATGAACGTAGATCCCTGAAAATGACCATTGAATCTTGAATAGATGGACACTCATCTTCCACCCCCCGGCTCAGTGCAGGGTCTATGATAACTTTTGGAGGGTACATATTGGTATATCACATATTAGATCCCCATCAATGAGTGATATATTAGTCTTAGCATATATTACTTTAATCCAATATTATTTATATCAATAAATACTCCAAGTGCCTGCGTTCTGCTGTTGCACCCTAGACCGAGCCATGTTTCAAACGACCCGGACGACTATGTGACGACGCTCAGTCGTCGCCGCCACGGAAGAGGTAACAACCTGCTGTGCGGCTGTCAGTATAGATATATTTATATTATTATATAACTCTATTATATTTATACATTTATATATATAACTGTATTATATATTTATACAATTATGTGTATAATATATATATATATATGCTAAGTTCCCAGGGGGGTCACTGTTCGACCAGGCACAGCGCTTCCTTTTTCAGAACCTGCTGCCGTGCCTTCTGATCTAAAATGGCTTTCGCAGCCAAACAAACAGGAACCTCCAAGAACACTCAGTGTCCGGAAGCCCCTGTTGATGGACGTGAGGGGTGGGATGGAGGGAGCCGAAAACTCCGGCGTTCCCCCCCTTTACACCGCATATACTCCCCGGGTCCGAGAAGAACATATGCTAAGTTCCCAGGGGGGTCACTGTTCGACCAGGCACAGCGCTTCCTTTTTCAGAACCTGCTGCCGTGCCTTCTGATCTAAAATGGCTTTCGCAGCCAAACAAACAGGAACCTCCAAGAACACTCAGTGTCCGGAAGCCCCTGTTGATGGACCCGCCCTTCCACGCGTCCCTGACTGGCTCACGGATTGAAAATAGGCAGTGGCCCGTTGGAGCTTGGGTCGGGCGGCCTGTGGGAGCGTAAGAGTGGCCAGTGCCTGCAACCCTGTGTCCAAGTAAACACGAGCTGTGGTCACATGCTGCCATCGCCCTTTTGTGACGAGCTGATCCAAACTGGATCCCGCCCGATAGGTGCTAGAGGCCCCTCCTCTTCTCAGGCTGTACGGGTAAAAGTTGCAACCTTGTAAGTGCAAGGCGTCCACGAGCGAATGCCAGAGAGACATAAATCGTTGCCTTGAACCCGTCCATAGCAAATCGCCAGGTTGCTTCTTTTGAAGAAGTGCCCTGAAAGCCTGGAAGGTGATTTGCTCGGCCATTTCGATGCGTTCCAACGGCAGGAACAAGCGCTTGCCTCCCTTGGAGGGCGGCAAGTAAAGCACCCCGGCTCGGTCTCCCATGACCACATCTTGGGCTTTGATTTGTAAAAGCTCGCCGGTGCGTAGAAACAATGTGAACCCGACGACGAGTAGCCACCCGAGTTCCCACTGTTGCCATTTGAAAGCCTGTCCTGCAAAGGCCATCAGAAGCTCTGGTGTTAGCGGCGTGGCCCGCTGAGGAACCTCAAGCTGGTTCCACACCTTTACGAGCTTCCATGACCACGTCAAGTGGTGCTTTGTTTCAGGCCTGTAAAATTGAATGGCAGCTACCACATAGTTGGCCGCTGACTTGGGTGACCCGCTCTCCCACAAGTGCTCTATGTACTCAGAAACCATATCGTCAAAAACGGGCAGCGGGGGCAAAACAAAATTCAAGTTGAAGTTGTGAAACATTCTGAATTCATTGAAACATTGTTGGTATCTGTCCTCAGTTTTCCTGCTGATCACTTGGTGCCGCAACTTTCCGATCCGTGCTCTTTGTCGTTTACGATCCTCTTGGGAGACCCCTGCTGCTATGGCTAGTCGCTTAGGGCTCATATTCTCGGCTGGGCCCGTCGGCCGGATTCTTTGCACTTTCGACGTAGGCCAGAAGGGGCCAAACGCCGCCTGCAATTTGCAGCGCAGCGAACTTCCTCAAGAGGCGGTTCAACGACTTTGAGCTTGATCGGCCCTTTGTGGCTACCGCCAGGGCCACCTGGCTGTCAGTGAGGTGCAGCGCCCTGCAGCTCCCGAAGGCTTGATTTCGAAGCCTCCGCTCAAAAGTATGCACCAAGGCTCGGAGCTCCAACACGTTGATGTGATCTTTCTCCTTGAAGGGGAAAGAGTGCGACCTGTGCCACACCCAACGGTGGGGCTCGACCGACCCCCGTGGGAATGAGTCGGGCCGGTAAAGGGCGCTGATGTCCAGCCGCACATCGGAGCCTCTGAACTCCTGGCGTCGGACATACGCAGATACCAACAAACTGCTGAGTTTGTTCTCATCATGCAACTCGTCCGCAAGTAGCTTTGAACTGCGGCTCTTTCTCTCCATTTCCTCTGCCTTGAGCGCACCGCCGACACTGATGCTGTCATCTGTTCGGCTGAGCTGACTGGACTCGCCACTGTCCTCCACGAGGGGAGGCTCAGTGGCAGGGCATCTTGTGATTTGTTGAGCCATTGAGAGCTGCACGATCTCCTCAGCTCCTTTCCTGCTTTTTAGCCCCATGGTCGCCAGGGCATGATCCAAGAGGCAGGCCACGCTGTTGGTGTGGAACGAATTCCCCAGTGCTGAACACTGCAAATCCTCTGCGGCTCGCCTTTCAGCCTCACGCGTGGGCGGTTTCTTGAGCAATTTTGCCGTGTGGCCTGGTTGGTATCCCATGAGGATCTCCCGCTCCTCTGCCACCAGGGGCCGCAGGGCGCACTCAGGTGTCAGCACCATGTATTCATCCTTGTAGGTGTATGGAGGGTACCTGAATTGGTCAGCCTCCCACCGTGCTACACCAGCTGGCCCCGTCTCGCTCAACCCTGCTGGGTCTGGCGGGGGCCTGGCCCGCGGTATGGACCTAGTGAAGGTGGGGAACCGCGCCTTTTCACTTCGCAGTCCCGCCTCCCACTCACAGTTGGGCTGAAGGAACAACTCCAAGGGCTCCTCCTTGGCTTTGTACACCAACTGGGTGTAATCCCTGTGCAAGATGACGCCAACATCATCCTCAGGCCCCGGCTCAACTGAAAGCCAAAAGAGGCGTGGTCGGCGGGCTCGGGACAGGTACTGGGCGTCCACCATCACTGGCTTCATCTTCAGCTCCCTTGACATCTCCTTTATGTCTGCGGAGTCGGCGATCACATTTTCGAGCAGCTTCAGCACCCACAACTTTTTCTCTGCTGCCACTTCTTCGACTTCTCTGAAAATCCGGCTGGCCTCATAAAACAGCTGGGATCTTTCATCGGCCAGATGCTGACGCCGGCTTGACAACCGGGAGAGTCCCTGACAAGGGCTCCCTCCCCCTACCACAATGCCGCTCGCTTCTGGCACTTTCTTGAGGAGTTCTTTGATCTCCTTCTTGCCAAAGTTCTCCACTTTGCTGTAGAACGCCGCTCCTGGGTAGGTCCTCCGGAGGCGTCTCCTACACTCAGGGTCCTTCTCCACAATCCCCAAGTGTTTGTAGTGCACCCCTGCCTTCTCAAGCGCAAGGGTCAGTCCACCTAACCCGGCAAACAGGTCAATGACCAGGACGTGCTCATTCTCACTCAGCTGAGTGGGATTGGCCCGCGTGGGTCCTTCCGGGATGGCACTGGACTCCAAGATTTCTTTCACTTCCTCTTCTCCTGCTCTCGTGAGGCGAGAGGCGTAGCAGACTCCTGCTCCAGTTTCGCAGGCGTCGCTTGCGGTCACTATGGGGTCCACTGCTGCCTTCAGGTCGCATTGTGTCAAGGGGAGCAGAACCTCCATCATGAACATCTCGCTCCTCAGTTCTTCCGTCACCGGGCAGTTTTGAGGCCCATGAGCGATTGCTCGAAAAAGCACTTCCAAACAGGAAAATAAGCAGCGGCGAAACTGAAGGATATGCACTGCTTTCCCGGCATAAACCTGTAGCGCCTTTCGGTGCACAGTGCCCTGTCGGCGGATCCACGTTCCCAGGGAAATGAGGTCCAGGCATCGCTTTGTGGTGGTCCTGAGGATCCCCCTCTTTCCATCAATCAAAGCGCCCAACCTCTCTGCCTTCTGGCACCTCACCAGCGCTTTTTGGGGGTTGGTGGGGATACCCCACCACTCATAGGCTTGTCTGAGCTGCTCCTGTTCTGCGGGTGGTCTACCCTCCAGGTCAGCCACTGCTTTGGCTGAGATCTTCTCCAAAATGGTGGTGTCATCCAGGTAGATGGACCAACCTGCGCCTTCATCCAAATCCGGGAAAACCGAACACCTACTAATCTCAGCTAGGCGCGACAACCCAGCACCGCCTCTCAGTGGAGAGCCCAGTGCAATGCGCCGATGAGCGGCTTGCATGATGCCAACGGAGCTATGCCAGCCCATCGGCAAGGCGGACAAACCCACATAGGTCCAGTCCTCTTCCGGGCGTCCAACCAAGTGTCCCGGCACCGGCTTGGCCAGAGTCATAAACGGCCCCCAAGCCTGCGGCATGGCGAATAAATAGAAAGCTGACACCAGATCCTCGCCGCTCACTAAGAGCTCTTCACCTTCAGACACCATGATCCTCTGGAAGCTGGCTGCTCCTGTTAGGGTCTGGGTGTCCCCATCCAACTGGTGAAGCAGCCAGTTTGAAGCTCTGAGGTCTATGATAAGTCTCAGGACTTCTTCCCCAGAGGGCAGCTTCTTGTCCTGCTTCGGAACCCCAAAGACTCCGTTCAGCACATGCTCGCCTTCCACAACCACAAACTTGTCAACCGGCTTCACCAACTTCCGCTGATAGAGGGCTGCTACAACTTGATCCCATTCTTCATCCACGCACATCACGCGTGGCTTTGGCATGACCTCAGGCCAGTCCTCCCGGATCAGCAGCTCGGGGTGCTGAAGCGCCTCGGCCATCTCACTGGGCACTAGCTCCAGGATGTCAACCAGCCCACCGTGTTCGGGGCTCGGCAATCCAGGAAGGATCTGCCGCAGAGTCACCCATTTGGCCTTTTCTACCACTTCGCCTGTGTAGGAAATGCTCAGCTCACCTATCTCGTGTTCCCATTCATGGAGGGGGGTCCTTGGGACACCAACCTTTTCCTTATCATCAAAGAAAACCTTGAGCATGTCCCAAACCCGGATGAGGGCTTTTTCCTGAGCTGCTGTCGCTTGGGACCCTGGCCAAGGTGGCTGACTCTTCTCCCGATCTCCGTGGAGATAGTTCAGTCCCAGAATTGCCAAGGCGTGCCATGCTTTCAACCCTTCCAACCGCCGAGCCTTCTGGGCCTTGCTGCGGGTGTCACCTCTCTCTCTCCATTGACCAGCTGCATCCTTGTACTCCCCAGCGGTTATGATCATCTTAAGCTGTTCAACGTCATCATGCCACAAAGGAAGGGGGAAGAGGTTCCGCACACGCTCCTCCCTGAGCTCCGTGGCTTGCAGGTTCCACTCCATCAACCGCTGAAGGGGGCTGGGTGAGTGCCATATTTGTAGGGTCAAATGGGAAGCCATCTGAGCTGCCGAGAGGCCCGTCCATTCATGCTCATCGAGCCAATCTTTCAGCAAGCTGCTGACCTGCTCCTCCAATTGGGCTGCAGGTTCGGCCTCAAGTAGGCTGCCGTGCGACTCTTGTCTCTCCTCCAGCCTTACTTCTCTGATCCTTTCGGGGTGCCTTTGCTCCACGGCTTCCCCTTTCCCTTCCGACCTTTCCAAGGGCCTTTGCCCTTCGACTTCCCTTTCCTTCCGTTGGGCCTGGCTTCCGCCTCTTCTATGCTCACGGCCCTCGGACTGGTCAGGTCCTCTGTGGGTACCCCCTCGGGGGGCTTCACGGGTTTCTCTTTCACCGCCTCTCCATGAGGAGCTGGCAGTGCTGCCCGCAGTGCGCTCCTGCGAGAATCCCCTTCTTTGCGCTCTTCCCGAGACCGCAGGTCGACGAACTTCACCCTCTGGTTCGCCAGGGTGTCGGCCGCGCTTCTGGCCGGGCTGTGGCGACCCTCCACGGGCCGTGTGGGGCTTCGGCTCTGACTCACGGGTCTCCCTCCCACAAGGGCTGACCCGCTGCCCCTCTCCTATTTGCTGAGTTTGCCACTCTTTTGAATGGCTTCCTTCAACTTCATCTGTCTCACCTCGGCCTTCGTTGCGATCTCCCTTTCTTCTTCTCTTGACAGCATGGCCCCGGCTGCTGGTATCAGTTCGTAGTGCCTCGCCAGGCTCCAGTGACCGTCCTGGATCGCCACCTCCAAGGCCTTGAACCTCTGCATCAAAAGATCGAGGGTCTGCAGAGTGCGGCTGGCCAGTAACTCGTCCAGCGCCGTCGCCAGGGTGATCAGCTCTCGATGCGCTCTGACTCCGATTTTTGACGGTGGTGAGGCGGTGAGGATGATTTGGTTCAAGTAAGCGAGAACCTTCTGAGACTCCCACGCGCCCTTTTCGAGACCGGTTTCGGCCTGACCCGCTAAATACCGGCTCATCCGCTTTAGGGCCATTTCGGTCAACCGTCCGGGCTTCTTTTGGGACAGGCGCCACAGGTCGCCTCCCCGGACTGAGGACGGCCGAAAAAGTGACCCTGAACTTGTGGCGCTGGAGCTTCCTGAAGAACTCCCCGAGGAGGGGCTGTCCTTCCGCCTTCGGCCTCTCTCGGCCTTCTTCTTCTTCTTCCTCTTCTTTTCTCGTTCACTATCCTCTCGCCCCTTGTCTTCTGCCTTCTTCCGTTCTTGGTCAGCCAACTTGTCTTCCAGGCGCCTACTCCGCCCCCTGCTGCGGGACCTTCTTCGGGCCTTCCGTTCTTTCCGGGGCTCCTCTCTGTCACCACTGCCGCGCGCCTCACCCCCAACTGGGGCAGGAAGTGCCGTCACGGCCGCATCGAGGCCAGTGCCTCCTGGGACCACGGGCCCCCGTTCTTTGGCTTTCTCCTCAATGGCGGCTCGGCCCAGGGCGATACCTTGATCCTTCAAGTATGCCTGGTCAACCATGACCTGCGGGGTCAATAACCGCCATCGGTCCACATGAATGAGGATCCTTCGGTCCCCTCTTGCCAGCCTCCGCTTGCAGGCCTTGGCACTGCCCTGGCAGACATGGTACACAGCACCTTGGCTCAACTTGTTTTGAGCATACCAGTCATAGTAGGGGTCTGATGCCAGGCCATGCTCGGCTGTAAACAGCCCTTCTGCAGTGTCTTCCCAGCTCAGCAGGCGCAGCACTCCCCGGCCTTGGCCATGACCATGGTCGTCATAGCAGTGGTACTCAATCAACCTGCCTGTCTCGAACATATCTCGGGCCACTTCTTGGGCACGTTGCCCCACATCACTTGCGATGCACCAGTTGCACTCGCTCAAAGGCCGCCCCAGACGCAGGCATGTGCCTACGTCCTCAACGCTCAAGCCTAGCTGCCGGCCTAGCGCCAGCAGTTGATCCATCTTTCTCACAAAGAGGATCGGGGAGGCACAGCCACCCACGAGGATGCCCACAGGGCTCCTGCCTGAGGTTGGAGTCTCCTCAAGAGACCGGGGCCAACCTTTCTAAGACCACAAAAAGCAGATATTTGCACTTCAGGCACTTAATGAACTTATAAGTATACTATAAGTTACTATTATCCTCCTAATATCTTGTTTAAATATGAGATCTGAAAATATGTTCTTTTAAGTTCCTCTAAATTTTTAGGTGAACTTATAACATAATAATGAAGATATAAGCAAATATAGGCGGTTATTATTTGCAAGTAAGTTAAACGAAGCGAAAATAAGTGAAAATAAGTGAACATAAGTGAAAATAAGTGAAATAAGAGAAAATAAGGATGTTTTCTTTTTTTCGGCATTTTTCATGGATGATTTACAGGAATGTAGATGTGATCGGATACTGCCTGGAAAGAGTTTCTTTTGTAGGGAACAGTTCTCTGCAGGATACTGCCTGGAAAGATTTATTTCTTTAGGGAACAGTTCTCTCAAGGGTACTGCCTGTTTTTTTTTATTTTTCTGGTAGGGAACAGTTCTCTGCCGGTTACTGCCTGGAAAAATATTTTCTTATAGGGAACTATTCTCTGAAAAATACTGCCATATTTTTTTTTTTGGTGGTATAGTTCCTCCCAAGAAAAAAATGTTTTGTGTTAAGAACATTTCCTGTGAAGGATCGTTTTTGGAAATGTCATGAAGTTTTAAAAGAATAGATAAAGTTCTGGAGTGCATGCTTCCTGGATATGAAACGATGTCAGGCTAAAAAATTCTCTCAACAACCTTTCTTGCACAGAAGAAGCAAAGAAGCTTAGAGTTGCAGCTGCAGAAAAAAAATGCAAGAATGAATCAAACTGTTGAAAGTCATCTTCATCTGCTTCTGGCAACTTTGACACATTGGCATGAATATGATGAACCAAAAGAAGAAAAATCAAAAATTTAGATTCTCTTTCTTTTTTGGTTTTCTAATTTTTCTGGATTCTAACTTGTTTTGGCTAGATTTTTTGAATTCTATTTTTTTAGGTTTTCTACAAAAATATGGATTCTATTTTCTTTAGGATTTTCTAAATTGTCTGGAGCCTATTTTTCTTTGATTTCCTGAATTTTCTGGATTCTATTGTTTTTTGTTTTTATATTGTTTTCTGGATTCTATTTTTTTTTTAATTTCTGAATTTTCTGGATTCTGGATTTTCTATTTTTTCCAGATTCCATTTTTTTTTGGTTTCTAAATTTTCTGGAATCTAGATTTTTAAGATTTCTGAATTTTCTGGATTCTGAATTTTCTATTTTTTCCAGATTCTTTTTTTTTGGTTTCTAAATTTTCTGGAATCTAGATTTTTAAGGTTTCAAATTTTTCTGGCTTCTGAATTTTCTAAATTTTCTAGATTCCAGTTTTTTAGTTTCTAAATTTTCTGTTTTTTTTTAGATAAATTTCTGAATTTTCTGGATTCTGGATTTTCTATGTTTTCCAGATTCTATTTTTGTTTGTGGATTTTGAATTTTCTGGATTTTCTGAATTTATTGAATTTTCTGAATTCTGAATTTTCTGAATTATATATATATATATATTTATATTTATATATAAATTCTGAATTTTCTGAATTTTCTGAATTTTCTGAATTTCTGAATTTTCTGAATTTCTGAAATTTCTGAAAATTCTGAATTTCTAAATTTTTGAAATTTTCTGAGTTTTCTGAATTTTCTGGATTCTGAATTTTCTAGATTCCTTTTTTTTGGTTTCTAAATTTCTGGAATCTAGATTTTTAAGATTTCTGAATTTTCTGGATTCTGAATTTTCTAGATTCATTTTTTTGGTTTCTAAATTTTCTGAAATCAAGATTTTTAAGATTTCTGAATTTTCTGGATTCTGGATTTTCTATTTTTTCCAGATTCTTTTTTTGGTTTCTAAATCTTCTGGAATCTAGATTTTTAAGATTCTGAATTTTCTGGATTCTGAATTTTCTGAATTTTTGGATTTTCTGAATTTTCTGAATTTTCCAGAAACTATTCAATACAGAAACTGTCAATTCCTTAAATTATATTTTCCAGAAGCTGTTCACTACAGAAACTGTTTTGTCCTTAAATTATATTTTCCAGAAACTGTTCACTACAGAAACTGTTCTTTCCTTAAATTATATTTCACAGGAAGTTTTCACTACATAAACTGTCCTTTTCCTAACAGTATACCTTACAGAAACTATTCACTACAGAAACTGTCCTTTCCTTAAATTATATTTTCCAGAAACTGTTCACTACAGAAACTGTTTTGTCCTTAAATTATATTTCACAGGAAGTTTTCATTACATAAACTGTCCTTTCCTAACAGTATACCTTACAGAAACTATTCACTACAGAAACTGTCCTTTCCTTAAATTATATTTTCCAGAAACTGTTCACTACAGAAACTGTTTTGTCCTTAAATTATATTTCACAGGAAGTTTTCACTACAGAAACTGTCCTTTCCTTAAATTATATTTCATAGGGGGTTTTCATTATAGAAACTAACCTTTCCTTAAGTTATATTCATCAGAAACGGTTCACTACAGAAACTGTCCTTTCCTGACAGTATACCTTACAGAAACTGTTCACTACAGAAACTGTCCTTTCCTTAAATTATATTTCACAGGAAGTTTTCAATATAGAAACTGTCCTTTCCTTAAATTATATTTCCCAGAAACTGTTCACTACAGAAAGTGTCCTTTCCTGACAGCATACCTTTCCTGAAAGAAAGACAAAACATATCATTTATTCCAAAGGAAAAAAACCGACGGCTAATTTCAAAAAACGTATAAAAGAAAAATACATCGTCTATAATCAAATCTGATCCTAAAAAAATAAGTGAAAATAAGTGAAAATAAGTGAAAATAAGTGAAAATTAGTCAAAATAAGGAAAAATCACTTCTATGATAAGTTCATATAACTACTAATATCTTCATTAAGTGCCTAAAGTGAAAATATCTGCATTTTGTGGTCTTAGTTGGTTGTGGCCTTCCTTTTTCTTTTTCTCTTTCTTTTTTCCCTGGAAGCTAACCCTGACTGGGTCTGCTTCCTTTTTCCTGTTTCCGTCTCCTGGCCCCCCTAATCTACAGAGATCTAGGGGGCCAACACACCTCAGGCCAAGCAGCTGGGCACAACCCCAACGGGGTCTGTGCCCAGCCGTTCGACCCTCCTGTGAGCCGAAAACTCCGGCGTTCCCCCCCTTTACACCGCATATACTCCCCGGGTCCGAGAAGAACATATTCATATACTGTTATACAATATTATACACACCGTAGATTGTAACTGGTGGGTAATCATATTTGTATCACCCTTTTCTTCGTGCTGCCCACAACAGGGGGACTTAGCAATGTACTGTTTCCATCAAGCCCTCAAATGTGCCATAATGTTTCTCATACTTGACGGGGCATTCCTATACCTCCTTTTCCATTCCCGGACCTCGTTTTGCCTACCTCGTTCTAGAATGTTCCCTGCAACCTAACCTGTATTTTCATGTATTTTCGGCAACCGGGGTACGCTCCAATACTACTCTTGAAGAAACAAAATCAATGCCGTCACTCACACACATGTATTTCAGAACAATAAACTCACCAGCTCAGTTTAGCTGAAAGTATGATATCCAAAAAACAATGGAGTAAAACCTCATGCTACCCATTTTCGATCATGTCAAACGAATATTTTGAGGGTCGATTCCTCATTGGATGCTGAGAACAATCCCATCCCACTGCATCTAAAAAGGGCGAGGCTAGTAATTTACCAACCGCAAAACAGCCGATGTTGGGTCAATTCCATCAATCCTAAGACCAACGATGTTGAGATCGTTATCACAATTTCCGCATATGATATAGTCCATTAGGGATTAGTCCAAAAGTGGGATACTGTACTACTGTACCACTATATAGATCCGCTGGTTAATCATCATCCTCATTAAAATGTCAATTGTTAATTTTGAAACAACTCCAAAACATCGAAAAAATGTTGCTGGTAAATCACCTCTATTTTTCCTGGTTAAATCACCATCAACGCTAGTCAAATTCCCTTGTCAGTTTTCTTTTATTGCAAATTTTCTTGAACAAAAAGTCCCTTTTTAGCAGGTTTATATATATAGTTCCTATGGTGGTTCACAGAAAAACCATTTAAACATGGATCTCATATCGTTTATTCCAATGATATTCCCATATCCCATGGTCACGCGGAGCGGCGTCACCTAAACCAATGGTCAGCGTGGTGGCCACAGTGCCCAGCACCTGGGTTTTAATAACACGCAGAGTCTGCTATCATGATAAGAAAATACATTGTATTACCCAGAGGATCCATGGTGCTGGTATATAATATATGCTAACAAAAAGGGGGTATATTGATGGGATCCATGTTACCATATATAGCAGCACCATGGATCCTATGGGTTATAATACCAATAAATTAACATGATTAATAGAAAGGGTATGCAAAAGTATGCAAGAGTCTATTATAGTCTATTAAATAGTATGTTAAAGTTATCAAATATAATACCATATACATCCATATACCCTCCAGAAAATTAACATAGACCCTGCCAGGTAGGGATTGGAAGATTAGTTCCATTAAACAAAATGCTATTTTCAGGGTCCATGTTAACTTACCAGAGGGTAACTATGATAATAACTATGGTGTATATAAATATATATATATATATGATGACTAATATTGCTAATAACTATAATCATAGATAATAACTATGACAATAACTGTAATTATAGATGATGTCTAATGTAACTATGGTCTTTGTATAAAGTATAGATTTTCGTTTTCATAATCATGGTACTGTCTTATCATTATAATATCATGTATTATGCTTATATAATTTAATTTTGGCATTCATGATGCTATCGCCATTTATGTATGCTTGATGAACTTTACAGCCATTGTTCTCATGTGGTAGATATTGGAAGGATGATGATCCATAATGGTAACGCATAAGGTCAACTGATAAC